GTGGGAGACCCTGAAGAAGCACCTGGCTCCTGGCTTCGGATCGGTGCAGCTCCGGCTGTTGACACCATTTAGGGAGTAAACCAGCGGAAGGAAGACATTTCCCTCTGTCTCTCCTTCACACTGTCTGTAACTCTACCTCTCAAATAAATAAATAAAATCTTAAAAAAAAAAAAAAGAAATACAACTGCAAAGTTCAATAGTGTATTAGTCACCTATGACAAGCTGCTTTTGACGGAAGGAGGTTTATTTTGGAAGAAAATGTTGGAGCTTCACAGATGGAGATCAAATGGACCCCATCAGTTTCCTAGTGGCAACGGTAGAAAGCAGGGAGAGGGAGCAGCACGTGGTGACTCAGGAAGAAGGCATTTAGGGCAGGTCCAACTCAGGTTTACAATCAACCCTCTCATAAAGACTACCTTCCGTGGGCACATAGCCAGTGGCCCAAGGATGGCCTGCTGCACCCATATCCCAAAGACCATAGCTTTATTAAGTTCCCACACTTCTTAGTATCATTAGAATAAGACTTCTGGTTCAGACTTCAAATGTCTGCATTCGTTCTGGACCCTTACGCTGCCCAATTGCAGCAAATGGAAAGCATATTAAACTTCACAGCTTTACTGAGTACAGTAGGCACAGCAAACTGCACACATGTTTAAACCACGCAGTTTAACATACTGTGACACAGAGTCACTGTGAGAGCATCACCAAAATAAAGAACATGTGAAATCACCTCCAAAGCTTCCTGGAGAATTTTGGCCATTTCTTCCTCCAGTCCTTCATCTCTACGTCCCCACCTTCTGAAACAACCACTGATCTATTTTTGTCAGTATACTTACTCATTAGTGTGGGTTTCCTATAAGTTTAAATAATTAAATTTCATGTAAATAGAGCAGAGTATGTCATCTTTTTATCTGGACTCTCAGCATAACTGTTCTGCTATGCATACATATTATAGCATTGTGATTCCCTTTTAATTTGCTGGGTACTGTGTGTGTGTGTGTGTGTAGCAGAGTAATTTAATTTGCTTATTGAATGGAATTTTTGGAATTTTGAACTGTGCATTTTAGATATCACGGGTAAAGCTGCACTGAACACTTGTGCAGATGTCTTTGTATAGACACATACTTCTATTTCTCTACTGACCTAGGAGGAAAATCTTATCTCATAAGGGTGGTGGATAAATAACTTCTTAAAAAGTTCCATATTGTTTCTAAAGTGGTTGTACCATTCATCTTTTTTTTTTTTTTTTTTTTGACAGGCAGAATGGACAGTGAGAGAGACAGAGAGAAAGGTCTTCCTTTTGCCGTTGGTTCACCCTCCAATGGCCACCACGGCTGGCGCGCTGCGGCCAGCGCACCACACGGATCCGAAGGCAGGAGCCAGGTGCTTCTCCTGGGCTCCCATGCAGGTGCAGGGCCCAAACACTTGGGCCATCCTCCACTGCCTTCCCGGGCCACAGCAGAGAGCTGGCCTGGAAGAGGGGCAACCGGGACAGAATCCGGCAACCCGACCGGGACTAGAACCCGGTGTGCCGGCACCGCTAGGTGGAGGATTAGCCTAGTGAGCCGCAGCGCCGGCCATGTACCATTCATCTTTCCCACCAGAAATGTTCGAGTGTTCTAGTTGCTCCACACCCCAGCTAGCTCTTGGCATGATTATACTGACTTTCAGACACTCCAATACATGAGTTACAGTAGCATGTTGTGGTTTTAAATTTCAGTTCCCTAAGGACTAGTGATGCTGAATATGTTTCCATGTCGTTATTACTCTCCATATATCATTATAAGGGAAACATCTGCTCATACATTTTGGATATTTTTATTGGGTTGGTTATTTACAAACAACAGAGTCTAAAGAGTTTTTAAATACTCTAGATAACAGTTCTTTTTGAGTTGCAAAATTTTCTCTCCATGTGAGTTTCCTCTCTTCTCCTAACAGTATCTTTTGAGGAACGGAAGTTTTATTGTTGGATCAATCCAATTTGTAAATGTATCTCTATATGGATTTTGCTTTTGGTCAGATATCCAAATCTTTTTTGCCTAGTGGTCACAAAGCTTTTGACTATTTTTATCATTTAGAAGTTTTAAGTTTTACATTTAAGTATGTGAACCATTTTAAGGCTTTTGAATTTCTTGTGAGATCAGAGCCAAAGTGGGGTTTTTAGTCACTGGTGGTTTGTTTGCATATAGCTATCCAATGGTACAACAATTTGTTGAAAGTACTTTCTTTCCTTGGCCAGCGCCGTGGCTCACTTGGTTAATCCTCTGCCTGCGGTGCTGGCACCCTGGGTTCTAGTCCCGGTTGGGGTGCCTTATTTGGTCCCGGTTGCTCCTCTTGCAGTCCATTTCTCTGCTGTAGCCCAGGAAAGCAGTGGAGGATGGCCCAAGTGCTTGGGCCCTGTGCCCACATGGGGTACCAGGAGAAAGCACCTGGCTCCTAGCTTCGGATCAGCGCAGTGCGCCAGCCGTAGCAGCCATTTGGGGGGTGAACCAACAGAAGGAAGACCTTTTTCTCTGTCTCTCTCTCTCATAGTCTAACTCTGCCTGTCAAGAAAAAAAAAAAAGACAAGACAAGACTTTCTTTCCAGGGCCAACACTGTAGCACAGTAGGTTAAAGGCCCGGCCTGCATCTCTGGCATCCCATGTGGGAGCCGGTTTAAGTCTCTTGGGGAGTGAACCAGTGGATGGAAGACCTCTTTCTCTCTGTCTCTACCTCTCTCTGTAACTCTTTCATATAAATAAAATAAATATTTTTTAAAAATAAAATTCTTCCTTTCCACAACTAAATTGTCTTTCAAATTTTGTCAAAAGCATTTCTCTCTATATATATGCATATAGAAATATATAGAAGCATAAGGATTTATTTTATTCCATTCTAATTTCTAATAGTTATTCAGTTGCAACTATAAACGTATGAATGCCACTTATGAATAGTGAAAATTTATAAAAATGGTAGTGTTCAAGCATTTGATGGGGAACAAATTATTTTCTTTGAGGTAATCAGGGTAAGAATTTTGTTGAAGAAAGTTGAGTGTTACAGAGGTCCCTCTTCCCAGATTCATGGGTTGAAGCCTTAACTTTCCATGCAATGGTGTATGGAGATGAGACTTTAGAGAGGTAACTGAGGTTAAATGAGGTCACAGTGAAGAGACTCTAATCCAACAGGTTGGTACCCTTCTAAGAGTAGGAAGACTCTGGAGGCTCTCTCCCCGCCACATGTGCACAGAGGAAAAGTCGTGTGAGGATGCAGCCACAAGAAGGCAAACCAGCTGGAAACCAAGAGAACCCAGATGGCATCTAAATCTTAAGACTTCTAGCCTGCAGAACTGTGGGGATAAATCCCTCTGTGGAAGCTACCAAGTCTGGGATATTCTGTTGTCAGCCCATGCAGACAAATCCAAAGGGATCTGAGGGCTGACACCTAAAGCTTGAGCCCCTACTGAATGTGTCTGCTGGCTCTTAGTTTGACTAACTGGAGGACTGTACTACATGACTAAATGGTCTCCAGCTAGTTATATCTGATGATTAGAGCTTTGTGGTTTCATTTTTCTGACAACATTTACTTGATCCAGGTCCAGTTTTGTGTTTTATTTTCTATAGAATCTTACAGCCTCATTAAGATAAGCATGTGGAAATGTGTATAACTTAATGAGAGCAGGAGAACAGAGTCACACTGTAGACAAAAAAATAATTTTTGAGATGGCAGCATGAAAACAGAGGGGTGGGTTGACTTTGAGTTTGTATGCCTGGAACAAGTGACTTCATATTAATATTGTGAAGATGGGAAAATATTAGTCCCTACAAACAAGAGCATTCAATTTTGTTCAAAACTTATAAGGAAAAGAACTGACAGTATACACTGAGTTTCAAATTAGATCTGTTAACTTTTGTTGGGGGACATGGAAAGAATTCTTAAAAAGATGAAAGGAACTTGACCTGATCTTGAAAAGAAGTGCCCAAGAAAACAGATGTGGCAGGGCAAGCATACAACGCAAGCATTTTTTTAGTCTGAGCTAAAAAAATGGAGGAAAGCAATGCTGATGCATGCAACTGGCTTTGAAATGGAGGCGCTGGAGAGAAAGAGGGGTGGTCAAAAGGTTGCAAAGCTTTTAAGAGCCACTGGCGGCACAGGTGTTGCAGCACAGATGGTAAAGCTGCCCCCTGCAATGCCAGCATCCCACATGGGTGCCAGTGCAAGAACCAGCAGCTCCACTTCTGATCCAGCTCCCTGCTAACAGCCTGGGAAAAGCAATGACAGACAGCACACATGCTTGGGGCCCTGCTACCCACCTGGGAGACCTGCAAGAAATTCGTGGCTCCTGGCTTCAGCCTGGCCCAGACTCAGCCACTGTGGTCATCTGAGGAGTAAACTAGGGGGTGGACGATCTCTCGCTCCCTGTCTCTCCCCTCATCTCTGTAACTCTTTCAAACAAATAAAAAATCTTTAAAAGACAAAAAAGAGCAGAACCACTGGCAATTTTCTAAAGAGTTTTTACTTATTCTAAGGGAGGGAAAGAGAGAGGGAGAAGGAGAGCGGGGGAAGAGAGAGAGAGAGAGGCCTTTCATTCACTGAATGACCTACTCGTTCACACCTCAGAGGCTCACAAAAGCAGGGCTGGTCCAGGTGAACCGCAGGAGCCTAGAACTCCATCCTGATCCCCCACGTGCGTGGCAGGAAGCTAGGTACCTGGGACATCATTTGACAGCCCCCAGGCACAACAGCAGGCAGCTGTATCAGAACCGTGGGGGTGGCCCCATCCCAGCAACTCCAACATGGACGCAGCAATCTCAAGCGTCCCTAACTCCATGCACCACTCAAGCGTCCCTAACTCCGTGCACCACCACGTCTACCCTGACAAACTCTGTATTCATGTTTTCTGGAGCTTAAGGGACCACAGTGATAGCTTCCTCCTGCGTCAGATCTTTCTCCCTTCAAGCTCTCCACTTAGGGTTACCGACATTCTATACTGTGTCCGACTATGCAGAACTCCTACTACGCACCTGAAGTGAACCGGTTCCTACACTCTAGGAGCTCAGCTTTAACGAGGGGCGGCACACAAACGCGATGATTACAATTCACTGTATCATCCAGCGATGGCAAAGAGGAAAAAAAAAAAAAGGACAAGAATGTGGCAGTTAGTCCACCTGTGCTCAAAGCACGCGCCGAGCCACAGCTGTCAAAGCACACACACACACCTGAGCTGCTCTACGCGGAGTCAGGAGTTGGCGTATTGTGAGTTGGCAACACGGCCCTGGCTGGGGCTGGGTTCTGAACCTGAATTTTCTACGTGAAGGGGGACAAGGGGGCCACGCGAGCTCTGCCGCCCACAGCGCCCCCCGGCCCGTGGCGTCTGGCTCGCACCCCCCCACACACACACACCTGCATCAGCACCCACCCCCACACCAGCTTGGGCTGCCCCGCGGCGGTCTCGCGGCACTCGGAGGGTCTGCATCAGGCCCCCGTATCCCTGTACTCCAGCGGCCAGCACATTAAATAGCAGATAAAAACGCTGCGAGTTGAGGTCAGCGTGGCGAGGGAGGGTTAAGCCACCACCTGTGGTGCCGGCAGCCCACGTGCCCAATGCTGGAGTCCCGCCCGGCTCCCTGCTAATGGGCCTGGGAAAGCGGGAGCACACGACCGCAGGCGGGAAGCGCTGCAGCAGCTCCTGGCTCCTGGCTCCTGGCTGGCCCAGCTCCGGCCGTTGCAGCCGTTTGGGGCGTGAAGCAGTAGATGGAAGATTTCTCTCTCTTTCCCTCCCTCCCGCTCTCTAATTATGCCTTTCAAATCAATCAATCTTTTTTTAAAAAAGGAAAAAGATAATCTACAAGATTCCGCACACATCCGGCCGCCAGCTCCCGCAGGTTTCCGGGAAACGGCTGACGCCGCGCGTAGCGCTCGGCGCCGGAAGTTGTTCCCTCTCAGGTCCGTTCTTGCTCCTCCCACAGCGGCGTGCCTTTCATCCGGGCTTCAGCGCGCGCAGAGCACGAGCGAGTTTTGGGCCAAAGAGGCCGCCGTTGGGGGGCGTGGCGACGCAGGCGCAGTTTTGCGAACGGCGCTCGCATGCTGGCGGCCGCCGATTCTCTTCCTGGGGCTACCATGGCTCAGCCGGGAGCTCTGAACCTAAATAACGAGGTAAGCGACCGTGTCTTAAATCCCGCGGGGTTCCTCGGCCCTAGCCACGCGCGGTCTGGAGGTGGGCCGGGGGGGGGGTGGAGATGGAGGCTGGAGGCGCTTTTCGGGGGCCCCGAGGGGTCCCGGAACTGCACGGTGTCCAGGTGACTAACCCCGGCGATAGGTCTGTCTCGTGGGCTTCTGTCCGCGGGACTTGGAGCAGATGACGGACTGCTCCGCGCCTGCGGTGCCCTCTGCGCAGCAGAGCTTGCGAGGTGGCCGTGAAGGCTGAGGTGTGCCGAATGCACGGTGCGCGCCGCCCGCCGCTCTGCTGTCGGAGGGAAGGGGCTCGGGGCGCGCGTCGTGGGCGAGACGTCTACACTCGCTGCTTCGTCTGTTCCCGCGGCGATGTCGCGTCTGGGCCGCGTTCACAGCAGCGCTCCGGAAAAGAGCTGTGTGTACCTGCTCTCCCTCCCCGGCTGCCCTCTCTCTGTGTCCCTCGCTTGGGCAGCAGCGCACCTGTGATGCAGAATAGGGCTTGAGGTGCGCCCCCCTGTCCCCCCAAAGCCTAGCCGTGCAGAGGAGGCTCGGCGACGGTAGTCCTCGGTCTCGCAGCCCGAGGCAGGTAGGGACCAGTGCAGGCGGGAGGGGTGGGTAGTGGGGGCTTGGGCACGGGCGGGTCCTGCGTAACAGAGTGGCGAGAGGAAGCGCAGTGCTGCGCTGCCCGACTGCGGGTCAAGGCAATCTGACTCCAGTGCGGAGCAGAGACCAGGCTGTACCGAGGCGAAGTCAGGGCGCTCAGTGCCGATTGCTAAGCATGGGTTAACCCCTTCTTTGTTTTTGCCAGGAACTATCGGGTGCACTGTTCTCCGTTAATATTGCCTATGAGGTGAAAAGGATCTTAAATCTGATTTTGTTGGTAATTCACAGGAAATGCTACGGAGTTCCCCTGCCCAATGTTAAAATAACTGTGGCGGTGTTCACGGCCGGGAATCGGCCACGGGAAGCTTTTCTCTTTTTGCACTTAGGTCATTCCCAGGCCTCGTGAAGAGCAGCTAGGCTGCCTCGTGGGACGCCTGTATCCCGGGTCAGTGCCTGCCTGCTGCGCTCTGCTCACGCACACTCTGAGCGGCAGGAGGCGGTGGCTCGAGTATTTGTGTCCCTGCCACATATGTGGGCGACCTGGGTGGAAGTACAGCCTGTTGAGAGCTTTTGGGGACTGAACCAGTAGATGGAAGATGTCTGTCTCTCTGACCATCTGCATTTTAAGGAAAATGAAAATTTAAAAAATTGACCTACAAGAAGCCTTTGCTAAGCCACCTTAGTGTGCGTAATGTGAGTGTCTTTGTGCAGTCAGAGTGTTTTCTACTCTGAAAACTAGTATTTACCTGTTTCTGGCTCCCTGTGTTTCTGTTTCCTGTAACATACACATCCTATAAACGTTTGCTGGGCAGTTGAAGTTATCACATCCCCATTGAAGTAGGATATATTCTAATATAGAGGAAATAAAATAGAAAAAAATGTAGAGGTTATGTGGGGTTTATAATTTAAAATTAACAAGGAAAAATCTACGAAGAGAAAAGCATGTAAGTTATCTACATTCAAAATTGGAAAAATACCAAAGAGAATGGAAGCAACCAGGAATAAAAAGTGCATGAACATTACAGGTAAAAAACTGATGTCATTACTAGAAAGTAGCTAATGGAAATTAGCAGAAACTGGGCAGAAGAAATGCATTGACTTCTCCAAAGTGGAAATGAAGCTGAAAGCGGTCGTTTGTTTATTTCCACTACTTCTCTCCTTGCTGCCCCTCGCCGAGTTCTCTCTCACCAGAACTGCTGTGATGCCCTGCCGACCACTTTACACTGACTCCTCAGACTTCAGGCTGATCCCCAAAGCACTGCTGGGGCGCTCTCTTCTAAACCTGAGTCTGACCGGGTCGCCTCTGTTAAAGCCCGTGTGCTGACTTCTGTTGCATGTGGTGTAGCCGGTCCACAGGTGCGCTCTCTGACCCCTTCTGCGCTTCCACTCTGCCTCCAGTCATAGCTCCCACAGATCCTGTCACCTGCTGCTCCTTGGGTCTTGAACTCCTTTTCCTCTCTTTGGTCTGTTTGTCATGAGGTTTGAGAAACAATTCTTCGCTTTCGACTGTTGTTTTCAAATGTTGTTGCACCATTTAATTCTTTCCAGCACTTGTGGTAGTGATCTGTGTGTGCAGGTGTCTGAGTGAGTTCTTAACTCCAGCTCCTGACAGAATTCCGCTCACATTATATCCCGAATATTTATGTGTTGAATGAATAACAAGACGCATCATCTTTATATTCTTCAAATCTTAAATTAGTTCTGAAGTGGGATTCCAGGATATATTTCAAAGTTTCTGTTACTGCCAGAATTGTGGGTAAATTTATTTTATGTGTTTGTCTCTGGGAAAGAGAATCCATGGGCTCCATCAGATTCATAGAGGGTTTATATCTATATCTCTAGTATTATCTTAGGGATATCAGGATTCAGAACTGTGGTTTACTTTTTAGAAATCTGTGCTTCATTATCCTTAATTAAGACTTTTTTTTTTTTCTTTTTTTTGACAGGCAGAGTGGATAGTGAGACAGAGAGAAAGGTCTTCCTTTGCCATTGGTTCACCCCCCAATGGCTGCTCTGGCCGGTGCGCTGCGGCCGGCGCACCGCGCTGATCCGATGGCAGGAGCCAGGTGCTTCTCCTGGTCTCCCATGCAGGTGCAGGGCCCAAGTACCTGGGCCATCCTCCACTGCACTCCCGGGCCACAGCAGAGAGCTGGCCTGGAAGAGGGGCAACCGGGACAGAATCTGGCAACCCGACCGGGACTAGAACCCGGTGTGCCGGCGCCGCAAGGCGGAAGATTAGCCTAGTGAGCCGCGGCGCCGGCCTTAATTAAGACTTTTAAAAATATTGGGCTACTTTTTGGTAGTTAAATTACAAAACATTTAACTTCCCAGAATATCTTTTCTGAAAATAAAAGCCTGCCTGCAGTGACACCCATTCATTATTTTATGTTGACTTTCAATGTTTTTTGTCCTTAATAATCATATTATACAAAACTTCCCAAGGATGAGGCCTGGCTGATATATAAAATTATTCTTGCTTCAGGTGTCTGAAAACACATTTATTCTTGTTAAGTAAAACTTCCCCTTTTAGGGCCAGCACTATGGCGTAGAAGGTTAAATCTCCAGCTGCAGTGACAGCATCCCACATGGGTGCTGGTTGGAGTCCTGAGTGCTGCACTTTTTATCCAGCTCCCGCTGATGTGCCTGGGAAAGCAGTGAAAGATGACCCAAGCCGGGCTCCTGCACTCACCTGGGAGACCTGGAAGAAGCTACTGGCTCCTGGCTCCAGCACTAGCCATTGCAGTCATTTTGGGAGTGAACCAGAGGATGGAAGATCGATCTCTCTCTCTGTCTCTCTCTTTCTCCCTCCCTCTCTCCTTCCCCCCCTCCCTCCTTCTCTCCCCTTCTCTCTCTGTATCTCTGTATTTCATATTCATAAATAAATCTTTTTTAAAAAGTTTCCCTTTCGACTTCACCTTATGGTTATTTATCAAATGTTTTATCTTCCTCCGTACCCAAGTGAATCTTGAAAGGAGTAAGTGTTTTACTACAGCATCTTCCCTCACCCCTAGCACAGTACCTTGCCTACAGATACAAAGTCAATATATACTTGGAAATGAATGCATCAGCTGATGTTCAAATTATATCCTACATGTTTACTTTTTTACTCCTTTTCCATTAGAACTGGAAAAGCAAGGAAGCATAGTTGAAACCACAGTGCCAGTTGCATTTAGGAATAAACAATTTGCAAACCTGGATCTGGACTGGCCTGTAGCCATCTGTTTCTTTGCACAGCAATGATATGTAAAATCAGGATTAGGAAGCAAAGTAATCTGATGACATACTTTAATTCCATAGTCAAGCCAAAGGCCTTTGTATAAGAGTGATATGGTTTGATTCTTTGATAGCAAGTTAGCCATAAGCTTCTTAGAAAATTGCTTTCAAGCCGGTGCCGCGGCTCACTAGGCTAATCCTCCGCCTTGCGGCGCCATCACACCGGGTCCTAGTCCCGGTCGGGGTGCCGGATTCTGTCCCGGTTGGCCCTCTTCCAGGTCAGTTCTCTGCTGTGGCCAGGGAGTGCAGTGGAGGATGACCCAGGTCCTTGGGCCCTGCACCCCATGGGAGACCAGGACAAGTACCTGGCTCCTAGCTTCGGATCAGCGTGGTGCACCGGCCGCAGCGCACCGGCCACGGCAGCCATTGGAGGGTGAACCAACGGCAAAGGAAGACCTATTTCTCTGTCTCTCGCTCTCACTATCCACTCTGCTTGTCAAAAAAAAAAAAAAAAAAATTGCTTTCAGGGCAGGCTATTGGTGTAGTGCTTGAGCCACTGTTCAAGATGCCTGCATCCCGTATTGGAATGCCTGCTGTGAGTCCTGGCTCCTCTTGTGATCCAGCTTCCTGCTAACGTGCACCTTGGGAGACAGCAGGTGATGTTTCAAGTACATGGCTCTCTGCTACCCACCTGGAGACCTGAATTGAGTTCCAGGTTCCTGTGCCCTGACTGTTGCCAGCTGTGCCGGCCTGCGGCACAGTGAACTGGGTTTTCCTGAAGCAGAGAGTGGGAATGCAGGGACAAGGACGCAAAGAATGGAGCCAAGACAAGTCCTGATCAAGGCTCCTTTATTCAACAAATCCAGTAGTATTTAAACATGACCAGTTGTTTACAATAAGGAGCACAAAAGATTTACATATCAAAAAGGCTCTTAAGTTTACAATAAAACACTTAGGTGATAAATGCAGGTTTCAGGTGTGACTGATTATCTATATTATCTCTTGTGAGAGGTTTAGGTTCTTCCTACCTCTTCCTGGAATCTCCCTAGCTTGATTGTCTGTGCTGGGGAAGTCTCCATTCATATGTTTAAGTGTAAACAAAGGGAGTGACTACCTGTGGCTGCCCACAGCCAGCATTGGCTGGGGAGTGAACCAGCAGATAGAAG